AGAGAGAGAGAGTCAGTCCAGTTTTTTTCTGCTGAGATAACAAAACATGACTTTTCTCATGATTTGTATACTTTCTATCCAATTTTTTTTTTTTTTTTTTTGTTTTTCTCCGGTACTGGGAACTGAACTCACGACCTTGCGCTTGCCAGGCAGGCGCTTTTGCCGCTGAGCTAAATCCCCAGCCCCACTATCCAATTATTTTTAATAATTATTGTCTAAATTAAATGATCTCCATTATATGTTCATATTTGAAGCTGATGATTCTTTCTATATAAAGAATGCATCTACATTGAGAATAACCAAGATATTGCAGAGTCAGTTGCTGCTTAAGAGAAATGTGGGGAGGATTGGATATTCTCATTTGGGTGTACACTCAGAGCTGATCCTGGGTAGCTGTACTAATTAATACAGAGGCAGATGAGCACGTGTGTCAGATCAATAGAAATAGTTATTCTAGTTATCATATCACATTGATTTTAAGATCCTCATTTTTTTGTTTGCTGCAATAAGAATGCATCTTACTTCACTTGTATGCATTTATTAGGGCAATATTATAAGTCAGTAATGGCCTTATAATTGAAGGTGTTGAAAATCCTGGTCATTTGAGTTCTAGATATTTGAAGAGTCTGACTAGGGTAGCAGTCTGTACGGTAGGACCTTGATTCAGACAAACCAAGAAATTATAACAGCACTTATTGTCAGATGGGCATAGGCAAGACCAAAAATCCAGAGTGGGATCTGTGCTTGGCCGACTCTGTCTTTCTATATCTGAATTTTAATCCGATGGTGCCATCATTTTGGGAAAACTGGTCATGCATGGGGACATCTTTCCACCTCACAGAATGAAAAATCTTTGCTGAGCTCTAAACCCAGAATGGTATGTAGGAGTAATTTTCTATCCCAGTGGGTGGGCTGATCAGAGGAAAAGTGTCTTTGGTGCTGGAAAGGATAGAGCAATTGTGAGTGGAAGGTAAGGTGGAAAAGTGCACCTACCAGCTAGGTCACTTTTACCCTCCATCTACCCTAGGTGTCCTGTTGAGCATTTCCTCTCAGCTTTGTTGTCACTTTGTTTCCTTGGGCTTTCTGTTTGCTTCCTCTCCCCTTGTCTCTGTCCTGGCAGCAGGCTAGAGTGTGAGGCTTTGTGGCTAATGCTCCTATGTGTGTTGGAGTCCATGGTCTTTCGCTGCTTATCTCATGCCTTTTCTTTATGATGTTTCAGCTCATCCACCATACACCATGTGCTTTAGAGTGAAATTCTACCCACACGAACCCTTGAAGATTAAAGAAGAGCTCACAAGGTATTTTTCATGTGTTTGTATGTTTAACTTGCACCTCTAGCCAGCCAGAGCCTCTGCGTCTTACAGGCTTCATGTACCCCTTGTCTAGAGACCATCTCCACGAGGCAGGCGCTGGACTCAGCATTTTGGCTTGGAGTGCTGCTCTTACACTTAATTGTCTTAGAATTTCTTTTTCAAACAATTGTCATTGGGAGTGTAATTAGCTGCACAGAAAAGCAGTGGTTATGAGGGGGAGGTATTCTCTGAAAACATCTGACAGTGGGGTTCTAAAAATAAGTAGACCAGAGTGTTTGGGACATGGGAAATTCACAGCTAAGGCTTCCCTGGACTGTTTCTCAGAACAAAGCTTCTCTGGGAGGGACAAGGTCACTTGAGCTGTCTAGCTGACAGACAGCTAGTCGTCCTGGTTTCCTCTTGCTAAACTGATTGAGGAGTAGGCTTCCCTTTCCTTGAGGACTCTTCTCAACACAACTTTCCAAATTTCCCATTCCTTATGCTGTCCTGTCTCCTCCCCTCTGCAGGGCTTCAGCCTGCCCCTTTTCTGGGATTTTGTTTCCCTGAATCACTTGATAAGGCTCTGATTTGATGACCCCCATAGAACACTGTGCATAATTGTCTCTTGGAACAATTTTCTTAGGTGCAGACTCAACAGAAAAGCAGATGCAAATGGTAGAGGGCTTTGGCGGAGGAGGTTAGGGTTGTTGGGTATTTTGCTTTCTTGTTATCCAGAGTGAGTCTCTGGTAAAGCCTGACCCTAGTGGTGTGGAGATGACTTTGGGAAGAAGCAAGTGGTTCTGTTCTGTATGATTAATGTGCCCACAGCCAGAGCGAGGTTTGTTGGGGGCGTGGGTGAGAAGGGTGGAGAAAGAGGCTGTGTGAGTGTGAAAAAGAGGGGTAATGGATAATGGACACCGTGAGTGGTGTTCGTAATTTTGCACCCTGGCCTGTGTTTTTCTTTTTCATTGAGGCAAAATTCATGTAACATAACCTAATCTCACCATTTTAAAGTGTACAGCTCAGTGGTGTCCAGTACGCTCAGGGTGCTGGACAGCCACCCCACCTTCTAGTTCCAGAACATTTCCATCACCCTGAAAAGAAACCCCATACCCAAGAGCAGCCATTTTCCATCTCCTCCCCCAGCCTCCAGCAGCTGTTAATCTACTCTCCGTCTAGGGTTTGCCTGTTCCAACATTTCCTATCAATGGAATTATACAATATGTGGCCTTGGCCTGCTTTTGGACTTTTATTTATTTGGTAAATTGTTCTGTGGTTCTGATTATTTACTCACTGGGAACGGACTGTATGAGATACAAAAAACAACAGAGGGGCTGGGGATATAACTCAGTGGCACAAGTGCCTGCCTGGCAAGTGCAAGGTCCTGAGTTCAATTTCCAGTACCAGAAAAACCCAAAAAACAAAAATCAACAACAACAAAAAACAACAGAAAGTTGGTAGAGGGACAGATTTGTTCTGCTCCAAGGGTGCTGACAGTGTAATTAAGAAGATCCTAACGCTTCACTTGTCATTTGTTTCCTTTATAATCTTCTTTGGACAATAAGAATTGTTGAATATATGTCATAATATAAATTGAGGATGGATCTTTTGTTGTTGATGAAAAAGGTCCCACATGAGAGTAAAAGAATACAAAATTTTAGTAACTAACCCTAAATAATCCCCTCTCAATTAAATTTGCTAGTGTTTTCCTGCTTTTGACTAAAGAGCTCAGATATGAATAGTGGAATATTGTGAATATTTGATGTTTCCAAGGGAAGTTAAGATGGTGTCCAGCTTTTGCACAGATAAAAACTTCTTTTTTCTTGGTCAGCACAGTCCTTAGACTTACAAACCAATTTAGAAGCAGTGGAGCCCCAAGTGCTTATGGTTTAAACCCTTGTTTGAAAAGTGTTTGGCTTTTATGGTATGGTAAGTTGTTATTTTGTTGTCAGGTTAACCTAAAATTTGAATCAAATCTAATATAGTGTGTGAGAAATTAGCATCTTGGTCAGGACCATGCATAGGAATAAGGAAATATTAAGAAAACGACAGGTTTAAGTGGGCAGAGCAAGAAAAATACTATAAAAAGGCTTTTGGATTAATTTTTCACATTTCCTTTATCTTGCCATTTGAGCAATCACTTTACAATTCTTTATTTTCCTGGGGTTTTATAAATGTTACATGCAATTGAATGTTCCAAAAGTATGTTGGATTTATTTTTTTTGTAGTGAGAAAGTCTTTAAATTCATTTTAGTAAAGAAGCAATATCATTAATGGCAGCACAGTGATTTATACCCAGATCCTCTTGTGTTTTGGTTGTTTAATCCTCATGCTGGAGTGACACTAGAGAAAGATGCATTATTTTGGATGGCTATTGTATTTACAAAAGGAGCATCCTGAACTTGAAACTATGGTAAAGCCTGGTGGATTATGTTGAATCCACAGTAATCCTTGATTATCTCTGTAGATCACTGATAAGAGCAAAAACCAAGCTGTGATGCTGGGAAACTTGATTTCATAGAACCTGATTTTGAGTTATGAATTAGACCTCAAACTTCGCATGTGAATAGTCGTTTAAGCTGTTTTTCACTGCCAAATTTATCAAAAAGTAGAAATGCGTTATTTCAATGCATACATTTAACAATTAGGAAAGAAACCAACCTCATGGCATTTGGCCTGGTATTTAGTCTTTAAAGATCCGGTCATTTCACGTATTTGTGTGATGTTGGTGTTCTAAATGCTCTAGGGTCATGGTCTTCAGACTGAGGCCCCCAAGCCAGTCACATCAGCATTATTTGAGCTTTCATTGTGGATTCTTGGTCCCTGTCCCTGTAATTCCAGGGATGGGCCCAGCAACCTATATTTTCATAAGTCTTCTAAATAATTTGAAATCCTGCCAAAAATTGAGCACTCTTACTCTAAGATAGTTTGGATTTCTGAAAAGTATTAGTGTCTTTTGGCAGATTTTAATGTGTACAATTCGGTGGGTTTGGCATGGTCACAAGTTTGTGTCACTGCTGCTGTGATTGAATCCCAGAACCTTTGTATTACTCCCACTATCCAAGCAGTCATCCTGTATATTCCCTTCCACTCAGTCCTTGAAAACCAAGGATCTTATTTTTTGTCACTGTAGATTTTTTGTCTCTGTAGATTCATCTTTCTTGGATATGTCATAGAAGTGGAATCATACATTATGTGGCCTTTGTGTCTGGCTTCTTTTTATTTATCATAATGCTTTCAGGATTCACCTATGTGGTAGTGTTTATCAGTACTTTATTCATCTGTATGGTTGAGTAATATTCTACTGCACGGATACATTGTATTTGCTTTATACATTTATCAGTCGGTGGGCAGTTTGGGGTGTTTTCACTTTTAGCTATAATGAATAATACTACTGTGAACATTCCTGCAAATTTGGGTGAGGGCCAAGATTCTAATTTAATTGGATCTCAGATAGGATCATAGGACCCATGGCCTTGGTATTTAAGAACACCCTCTGATGAGTCTAATGTACAGTTGGAGTTAAGAACCATAGGTTTAAAATTTTATTCCTCTGAGTGTGGTCATGGAATACAGCATTGGTTGGGAGCGGCTAGAAATGTGGAATTTCATGCCCTCCAAACCTACTGAATCAGACCCCCCATTTTCACAGGTTATCTCAGTAATTTCTGTGCTCATTAAAGCAGGGGTATTAGCTTAGGAGTTAGTCTGAATCTGTTCCTACCAACTATAATATTGTTCCTTTGACCAAATGTACACCAAAGCGAATACAAAATTTATTAGGGACTTTATTCCTTGCACACAGTTTCATTCTAAAATGAGACCAGACTGTCATCTGGGCCCGTGCCGTGTCCCCAGTGCTTAGCACAGTGGCAGCAGGACGCAGGTATGAAAGTAAAAGCTTCTGAATGAAAACCCAGTCAGCCACCGAGTCCTTCCGTCCACCCCGCGTGGTTCAGTGTCCGGCGCCCACAGTGCTGGGCTCCAGTGCTCTGGGGCTGGCAGAACCTCTGGGACCCGAGCACACTAACCACCCTCTCTCCTCCATTTCTTTGCCTTTAAAATGAGACTCATGAATGTTACTTCTTATAAGGATGAGTTAAAATCAAATCACTTAAGCAATGGAGTGTGTATTAGTCAAGTCTCCCGAGAAGTGTCCGATAGTGTATCTGTCTCAGTCTCTCTCTCTCTCTCTGTCAACATTTATTATAAGAAATTGGCTCACATGAGTCTGGAAGCTGAGAAACCGCAGGCTGCCAAGATAGTGGCCCAGGAAAGCCAGTGCATGGTCCGAAGGGCTGAGGTATACACTTAGGTGTAGTGTCCAGTCCAGGTCCGACGGCCTAGGGACTGGAGCACTGAGGAGAAGAGGAGACGGGTGTCCGGGCGCACAGTCAAGCAGAGTGGATTCAATCTTCCTCTGTCTTGTTTTCTTCTGTCTTCAGCAGACTGAATGATGTCCACCTGCCCTGGAGAGGGCCTTGCTTTGCTCAGTTCTGATGCTGGTCAGATGCTGATCCCTTCTGGAAATGCCCACACAGACACCCAGGAATAATGTCTAGCTGATACCTGGGTGCCATGGTTCAGTCAGGTTGACACATAAAATGGACCATCACATGGTGGTCACTAGGACTGGCTGAAAGGTGCCTCAGTCCCCAAGAACATGGAAAGAAAAAAAGAAAAATTGGTTTCTGCGACTTAACTACTAAAATAATCCCAGGAAGAAGCTTACTTTGATCAGAAACAATAGACCCCCGGCTTGAACCTGGAGTAGAAGAATTAACCTGGCTAAGAAAGACCAGGAAATCTGTAGAGAGCTTGCCCAGCAGACACAAAAAGGATGGGGACAAGGTGAGCCTGAGTGGCAGATTGCAGACGGGGGACTCCTCAGTGTTTTTTGTCTGGTGCTACCGTGCTTTTAGAAACAATGGCATAGCATTGAAAAACTCAAAGGTTTCACTTGTAATTTTAGTCTGAGAAACTGGACAGGTCTCTTCTGCCTCCCTGAGAGGTGTGAGGGCTGGAGCTGTGTGCTGGCTGATCCCCGCCTGCCTTAAGGAGTCCCCTTGGCCTCCACCCGCAACTTGAGTCTTCACCCCGGGAAGAGGCAGGCTGGGACCCAACATGGCCAGCTCTGCCTGTGCGCCCGCTGCCTCTCTGGCCTTAGCACAGCGCCTGTTTCGATTGATAAATGTGAGTCCATCTCCCCTGAGAGATGATGGGCTGGTCTTGTTACAGGAATTCAGTGCATCCTTGATTCTCCATTTCAGACAGAACTTGGGTAGTGGGGACCTGAGAAGTGGATGGTGTGACCGTCACAGTTGGGGGCAGTGGCTGCGGGGCCCTGTGCCTCCCCCAGCTTTCCTCAGGCCTCTTTGGAGGCTGAGGGGATCCTTTCAGCACAGACACTGTTTTTCTCCATTCCGAAGCCCCCCACGTTTCCCTGCCTGTGTAGGCGAGGCGAGGCCAGTCGGAGCTGCTCCCCGGGGCTGCCGTGCAGGGTTCTGGTGATGCAGGTGAACAATGCAGGGCAGTCCTTCTCCCCGAGGCTTCTGCCAAAGCTTAGCGCAGTGTTTCTCCTCTTGTGTTGCAGGTACCTTTTGTATTTACAGATCAAACGTGATATTTTCCATGGCCGACTGCTGTGCTCCTTTTCCGACGCTGCCTACCTGGGTGCCTGTATCATTCAAGGTGAGTCTCGCCCCGGCGCGCCCACGCCGCCCTCGCACGGGGCTGTTGTGCTTTGCCTGTGGGTGCGGCCCTTTCCCCCGTGCCCACCCCGCCCGTGTCTGTGGCTGAAGGCCAGCTGGGACTGTGCACGCTGCAGCCAGTGGCGTCCTGGTAGGAAGCTGGACTGAGATGGTCACAGCGGCCTCGGCAAATACAAAGCACCCTTCAGGCACCACATAGAGCTTGGGGGCCGCTTTTGTAAGGAGCTGAACTTGTAGCTTTACAAGCTCTGAAGCGGTGTGGGTTTCTATGTTCTGAGCTCTGATCACCAGTGTGGGGCCTGACAGGCATAGAGAGAGGGAGGGCATGTTCAGGAAAGTAGGTTTCACACAGAGGTCATCCCTGGCCCCCTCACACACATATTTCATGTGTTCTGTGTGTATGTGTATGTACTGTGTATGTGGGTATCTGGGTATCGTATCTAACTCCATAGCTTTTCTAGCCATGCATGTGAGAAGTGAGACGAGCCGCAGCTTCACAAGCTGTCACAGCCCAGTCAGAATCTTTCTTCCCCCTTCTTGGTTATTTCCTCTCAGACAAATGACCCAAGTTCTCTAAACCCTGGTGTCTGCGTGTAACAATCAGGTTGGTTGTACCTCATCCTTGGGCACTGTGATTTCACTGGGAGAGCCCGGGCCCCTCACTGGTGGCTGTCCTTCTTTTAGGGTGAACATGCCATGGCTGGGGACACTAGCATCAGCAAGTGCACTGACCTGGGTGGCTTCTGAATGCTTCTCCTGGGAAGGACAGTGTGTCTGGGGGAGGAGCCGCCATGACCAGAGGCAGCTTGGTGCTGGGAGCCCAGTGGTCCTTGTGCCCTGGGCTTGGTGGAAGGCAGCTGGCCCCACGGGCTGTCTGGAGGGACCCTGATGACGGCTATTTGTATCATGAGTGGTAGTGATGTGTTTATGAGCAAGAAGAACGGAAGTGAAAGGAAAGGGGAGGGAAGGGGGAGGAGAGAGGGAGGGAGGCAGCACTGAGAGTCTGTTAGGTTGTGATGGGTCTAGAGAGAATAGTGCAGGCACTTGTGATGGGCCAAAGCCCATCACACAGGTGACAGTCAACTGCCCATCACAACATCAGACTTAGTGCACCACTTAAGAGAGAGTCTCATCTTTCTCCTGGGAGTCTCACTGGGCCCCCCACTGCCCTGTGGGGTGCCCTGAGCTGTGAAGTCATTCCTTTGTCCTGTTTCCGAGTGTATTTGGTCTCTGAGAATTCCACAGTGGGTTTGTGTGTTGCTTTTTCCTCTTCTCTGTGAGACACCCCCCACTGTGTAGCAGATTTTGGCAGCAGCATGAACCTCCTTGGGGATTTTGCAGGGTAAAGTGGCCAGGAGGATTCTGTGGCTGAAGGGAACGTGGTCCTCTGGGCTTGCAGGGGGAGATCATGCTTTTGAAAGCTGCTTCGCTTGCCCAGAGTGAAGGATTGTTCATCCTCGCAGTTTTCTTCCTTACCGATGCACAGGGCGCATGACTATTTCGGTGCGCTGTCTCGGGAGAGAAGTGGGAATCGATACTAATCCAAGCAGCAACCAGCATATGAGGATCTCAGAATGCATTTAAGCATTAGTGAATTATTGTCGCGTCTCCAAGGACAAGCTCATACAGATCTGTAATGGAAAGCTCTCCGTTCTCTGTTACATTTGCAATAAAGCCACAAGGGCTCCACCCTGAAGCAGGGCCCCGTTCATCCTCATGGCTCTTATCACAGGCCATACACCCTGGGAAGGAAGCAGAGCTGGAAACAGACTGACTGACACTGAAGGGACCTTTCATCTCTAAAATGCATTTTTGTCTCTCTCTGGGTCACTTGGGAGCAAGTTCAGTAAAAGGTGGGTCCTTAGCTTTTTCTGATGCTCGAGGTCAATATGCAAGCAGCTCTGGAGCTCGGGAACCAATGCAGGTAAAGACGGACTTTGTCAAAACCGTGCGTGCTCACAGAGTGACGGGAAGGCAGAGTTCCTGATTAGAAAGCAGGACCACCAGAGGGTTCATTGTCCAGCTTGCTGCTGTCCTTCTGAGGAGTGTGTTTTAAGCTTTGGAGTATTTAGCGTGTGTAAAAATCATCACCTGGAGTTTTGCTGCCTACAGTAACTACATCCACCAAATAAATTCAATATATGCAGAGTACATTTTCTTTCATAATACAAGTTGTAAAATAAACATACAGAATCCTTGGGATCTATTTATTTTAGATCCCCCTTTTTTGGTATAAATTGCCTTTCCCATTGCTTTTTCAAGAGGTTTTCCAGGTCTGTCTGAGGCAGCTTCTCTCCTACCTGTCATTCTTTCCCACATCCCTGTTTGGGTGTCTTGTAAGGGCCTGAAATTAGCTTGCTGAGTTGGATCTGGGCTTATTTCATGTTTCCTCCTATATTAGTCAGCTTTCTACTACTGTAACAAATACCTGAGATTATCAGTTTACAAAGAGAAAAAGTATATTGTGGCTCACGGTTTTGGAGAGTCCAGTCCATAGCTGATTAGCTCTGCTGGTTGTGGGCCTGAAAGCATATCATAGACAGAGCCTGTGGCAGAGCAGAACTGCTCACCCCAGCACAAGTCAGGAACAGAAAGCAGGAGGAAGAGGCCATGTCCCCTGGTCCCCTTTGTGGAGACCCTGGTCTCCCAAATACCTCCCACTGCACCCTGTTTTACATTTCTCACCTCCCAATGACATCAGCCTGAGGACCGACCTTGACGCATGTACCTTTGGGGAACATTCCAGATCTTATGCAGAATCCAGTTCCATAGGAATGAGTCTCAGGAAGCCTTTTTCACTGCAATCTTCCTGTGTCTGGCACACGGTAGCTTTTCCACAAAATCCGTGAAGTCAGGATACCTGCCTCAATTGCTCCAATGCTTTCCCTCTGGACTTGGGAAAAATCGGTTGGCTGCCTCTTGGGTAGATATTCATTACCTCCTTCAGCTATGTGTTCATGGTCCTCCAGGCATATTTTGAGTAGCCGCTGGATGGCACTGCAATACATGTCCTTGCAGGAAGACAGACAGAAAACCATGATGATGATGTGTCCCTGACCAAATGAGGTGGAAGCACAGGCTAGGGCCTTGCTGTGAGCTCTGAACCAGAAAGAGTAAGCCAGGCAAGGCTCCTAAAGGAACAGACCTCCTTCAGGAGAGTGTGGTGTCCTGTATCTGGAGTCCCATGTACTCTCCATGCATTTGTCCTTCTTTTCCTTGTCATTTTCAGGCTCTTTTGGGTAGTATTTATAGTACAAGTCTAGTGTATCTCCCCAGTTTTCCTGGAAAGAGAAATACTCCCCACAAACATGGCCTGACCTCACCAACCCCTCTCCCAGCTGACAGGTGCTCTGAAGATGACTGAGCTTTGTACTGGTGGTTCATCTCCTGTGTAAAATGCAGGCATTGGATTGGATAATTTGCCAAGTACTTAGATCCTTAGCCAGCTCACGGAGGGCCACACACGTGTATGTATGTGTGTGTGTGTGTGTGTGTGTGTGTGTGTGTATGGGCATGACCTGTTACTTGCACTTCTTTTGGAACTTAGATTAAAGTCATCAGTTCATGGTTCCTGTTCATCATTGGTGCCCTTGGACCCATCTGGTGATCAGTTGATTTGTATTTTTTTATTCTCCCCTTTTTTCCCCTGAAGACTGCGATTGGGCTCAGATTCATCTCTGCCTTGGCATACTGCCTTATCAAATAATTACTATTGTTTTGTGTGTACGTTTCATAAATTAAGTGGGGCCATAGACGCATGCCATTTCTTCCTTTTTATGCTCAGAATACTGTTTTTGGAGAGCTCTATGTTGCTGGGAACATCTTCCGCTGCTTCTAACCACCACAGATGTCTGTTGGGGGCATCTCCCATGCTTTACGTATCAGTCCAGCCAACCACAAACACCTGAGGAGCTTGTGATGATCATGACTGATGCCATGATTCAAAAACACCTCACACATATCATTTCCTGCACTCGGAGTTTTTCTAGGATATGTGCCCAGAAAAGGGATTTCTGAGTCATAATATTGGCTAACTACTCCCACCTTGCTCTCTAGAAGAACAACATGTATTGAGACTCCCTAGAAGTACACAAGTGTTTCGTTTCCACCAACTTCCTAATGTTTGACAATGTTACAGATGCAAAGTGACGCCTTGTTTTGGCTTGCGTATCTCGGTTTACTAATGAGCTTGGGCAACTCTCCATACACCAGCCGTTAGTATTTCACCTGCTGTGCATTGCTTGTTCATGTCTTTGACCATTTCTCTATTGATCTTCCCACTTTTCTATGATTTGCAAGAATTTCCTCTTTATTGTAGATATTAGGTCTTGTAAATGTTAGAGTTTGCAGATACATTCTTTTAACTTGACATCTCTTGTATGTTGTCTGTGACTTTTAATGATCAGTAATATTTAATTTTGGTATTATCAAATTAATCAATTTCCAGCCTATGATCAATAGCATTTTGGATCTTACTTAAAAACCCTTTTTCATGTGGTACATATCTGCATCTTTAGGTTTTCTGAAGAACTGAAATTTGAGTTCTGTTAAGAAGCTTTAAAGAGCTTTGTTTTACAATTATTAAATGATTTGACAATGAAGGAACAATAGAAATAAGTTACAGAGATGGATGTGATTTTTCACATCTGCTCCAGACATACTAATTTTTCCTGCTTCAGAGTCATGTTGGTGAAAAAGTTTGTCTATTACAGTTTTCTCGCCATCTTTATTCTCCTCTCCTGGGCTTTTCTGTCCAGGATACTTGCTTTTCTGGCTTATTTTCATCATAGGTATGGAATTGATAAAGGTGTTTCATGGCCAGACATCACCTTTACTCCTCCAGGCTGTGAGCTGGATACCCACCTCTCTTAGGCCCTCAAAGTGCTTGAGAGGTACAGGCATTTCTTTTCACCCTGAAAGAGTCTCCACAAGTTCCTTGTGGTAAAAGGTAACACCTTAATCCAATATGCTATTTTGTACTTAGGCATATACTCTTTAATTTGAAGAGCAACCCATTTATGTTTAAGTGTAGTTCTTCTTAGGTTCCTTCAAGTTGTGATTTTTTTCACTGATTGAGCCACTTTGCACAAGCTTCAAAGCCAGCAGCCCAGATAGATAGGTATCCTGTGAACACTGGAAATACTGGGCAGGTATTGACAGTTTGCTATTCAGTTTTTAATGGACAAATAAACATTATATATATTTATAGCATACAACAGGATGTCAGAATAGGCATACATTGTTAAGTGACTAAACTGAGCTAATTAACATATGCATTACCTTGTATATTTATCATTTTTTTCTGGTGAGAACACTTAAAATTGACACTCCTGGAGATTTTTGAAAATACAGTATGTATTTTTCAGTTGTAGTCCCTAGATTGTACAATAGATTTCTTCAACATGTTCCTGTCTAACTGATACTTTGTATCCTTTGGCTAACTTTTGGGTGTGATGCTCTTGATGGTCATTGACTGGGTCAGCTTTCCTGTTGCTGGAACAAAATAACACTTGCAACTTAAAGGAGGAGAGGTTTACTTTGGCTCACGGTTTCAGAGGGTTCCATGGTGTGCTGGCTCCCAGGCAGAAGCATTCTGGTGGAAGGGCATGGCAGAGCAAAGATGCTCAGTTCCTGGCAGCCAGGGAGCCAAGCGGGGGAACAGTGCAAGAGAGGTAGTGATGAGGGACCGGATATCATCCTCAGGTTCATGCCCCCATGATCCTCCCACACTGCCCACAGGGGTGCTTTACTAATTTCTTAGGTGTTTCTTAAACAATCAAAATTAACCATCATAGTAACAGTGATTATGCTATTGACATTTAAGTGCCTGAAGGGCAGAAATGCTAAGTATACCACAATTCCTTGGGAAATCTGAAATAATAAAATTGTTGAACCCCTCTAAATGCCAGTAGTGCCTCCATTGAGAGACACAGATGGAAATTGCTTTAATACACAGATAAAGAGAAGGAAACACAGAGGAGACTGCCCAGTGCCCAAAGGCAGACAGCTAAATCTGACCCTGAACGAGCCTCTAGAGTCGAGATCAATGGTGGAGAACCTATAGCATGAGTACTGCAGCAGCTGCTTGTGATTGAAAGCTCTGAAAGGTTCGCCATCCCTGGTCTAGACACTCAAGTTGTGGTCTGCACTTTGGTGGGGAGCATAGTCCAAGTCGTTCTTTTGGATGGCAGGCGACATTCCATGTGCGGCCTGCTTACAGTGTTCTTAATCTTGTTTTCATTTTTTACTGGTTACAGCTGAGCTTGGCGATTATGATCCTGATGAGCATCCTGAGAATTACATCAGTGAGTTTGAGATTTTCCCCAAGCAGTCACAGAAGCTGGAAAGAAAAATCATGGAAATTCATAAAAATGAACTCAGGTAATATGGGTAGAGATCTGTGAAAATGGCAGAAGTGGGGAAATATTCTTACTGTGGGGGGAGTGTGTAAATGTGTGACACAAGATTATTGTAGTGTATCGTAGTCAGCTGTTTCAGGTGACTACCGAAGCACCCCATGTCCCTCACCAATAACAATCTCAGTACCGTGGGTGGTGTTGGGGGGCTGCTTCTGAGCCAACCACAGCTGTCTAAGTCATATATTTTCTTATGCATGTGGGTTTCTAACCACCCTGAGATTCTGAAAGTAAAATCTAAGGTAAATAAATAATCCCTTCCAGCTGGAATTCTGTATTGCCGTTTCTCCTCCTGTGGCCATGGCCAGAAGTGTTGAGCTCAGATAGAATGGAATCGATGGACAAGGTTCCCTTTGTCAGGCTGCTCCCAATGGGACAGTTTTTCATGTCTGCTCCTCCTCCCAATGTCGACAGCATTTCAGAGTAGTAACTACAGGTGACAGTTGCGGGAGCCTCGCACTGCATGGAGTATTTGCCGCAAAGCAGACATGATTCTGAGCCCTTTGCATATCCAGACTCATTCATCCTCACAGCAACTTAGGAGCCAGGTGCCCTGGTTATTCCCATATTACAGATGAGGGAACTGAGGTCATTACACACAGTGAGCATCGAATGCAGGCAGCCTGGATGCGGTGTCCGTGCTGTTAGGCACTGCGTCCACCTCTGCTGGACCTAGGCCAGAGAGTCCAACAAAGCATGCCGAGGACCCTTCAACTTGGAATGGAGGTGACTCAGATCTTATAGTCTGCAGTTAGAATTTAGATCCTGTGAAAATCACAGAGGTTATTTTGGTAATAATAAGTGTAAGTGGTGCCTAGGAGAAGTATTGGTGAAAAGCTCCTTCCATCTCCTGGGCGTCTGGCAATTACAAGAAAATACTGTCGTTGGATCAGCAGTTCTGCAACAAGTAACTGACCCGCGAAGGGGATTGGCACTAGCTATGTGGTGCAGGCGCGCCCTCTTCTGGTGCGTCTGAGAAGAGTATTGTGTGGGTGTTCAAAGCAGCAGCATGTCTCAGGTTGGAAAATTTCTGTTTATTCTTAGAAATACAGATGATTAGACATCAAAATGTACTGATTCAAGAAGGCAACTTACCACCACTATGGGTTATTTTAGAGCATTGTCTCCTAATGAAAGACGTGGTTGCAAATACTCTCAGTATTATTTTTATAATTTGGAGTCAAGGGCACTAGAGGTAATAATAAAATTCTAATATTCCAGGAGGAGTCACAGAAGTGTCCTTTTTATGGACCATAGGTCAAGAACTGCTAGATGAGGGAGTTGCATCCGTCCTGTGGACTGATAGGAAAGGTCTTCTGCGACCAGACTTTGCAAGGGTTTACATATTTGGAACATAAAGCAAATAAGCAGTAAACATACATGGAGCACTCACTGGATGCCAGAGCATCGTGCCAGGAGCTCGGTGTGCATCTGTTCACCCAGTCCTCTCAGACAGACAAGGTGGACACTCGTAGTGTTCCCAGTTTGGGCGGGGAGAGTGCAGAGTGGTGTGGTGAAGGGGTTCTCCCTGGTAGTCACCAGCACTGGAACACAGGGCTGCCTGACACGGACCCCCTGGCACGAGCCCCCTCTTATCCTTGTGCTGCGCAGTCAGGAGGAGCTGGTGATGTGCCTGGTGTGTCACTGTGTCGCTGTGGCAGAGGAGTCAGTGCTGTGTGCTATTAGAGATGTCAAAGACCTGCAGAAGAACAGGAGGGGAGTAAACCGAATGAGGAGAATACTGAGAGACCTCACAGTAAGGCTTGGTGCTGTGTTGGATTTTATGAGGACATGAGTGGGTCAGAGAAGATCCCAGCTTGGCTCCTAACAACCAGAAAGCTATAGATTGGATACTGTTCCAGCACCTGAATTTGTGGCTATCTCTAAAAGTGTCATCATGACCTGGGGCTCCCAGGCAGCCCTGGTTTTATAACTTTCCACAAGGAGTCCCGTGGCTTGATCAGAGCTGCAGTTTTGCAGCTCCTGTAGCGCTGCGTGTCTGTAATGTCTGGAAAGCCCTTGAAAGAAGCAACAGTCACAGGCCTGGGGTGTGAAGCTGGCAGACACCGTGCGACATCGCACGGGAAGCCTTGGGACACTTCCCTGTGCATGTTTGCTTGCTCTCCCCAGGCAGTGATGTGTTTGAGTCAGCCTCTGAGCAGCAATGAGAGATTTTAGGTCAGGACAGGAAGATGTGACGAGTAGAAGATGCCAGTGCAGAGGGAGAGGGGCTTTCTGTAGTTGGATAAAAACGTACCGTAGAGGTTGAGCCTGCTCTGGTGTCTAGTGAGCCCTTGCGTGGAGTTCAGGAGAGTGCAGACCTTGTGTGGGGAGCAGGGCCGTCAGTGGAATCGCTCCACAGAACCAACAGTGTTGGAACAGAGTCACCAGTGGAGGAATCCCATGCAAGTCTGAACCTGGGCATGCAGCCAGGTCCTCCGTGGTGACCCCCGCACCCATAAGCCTCAGCGAGGCAAGAGGGTAACTCAGAGATGCAGAGACTTCTGAGAGTTTCTGGTTGGCCTTTGTTGGGGCTGGAGGGGTCCCATAAATAACTGCCTTCTTCCTATGTACTTTCTGAACCAGTTGAGAAAGAAAACAAAATAGATGGCGATAGAGATGCTCGAGCACTACAGGAATGATGATGCTTTGCAGAGAGCTAAGCGTCGTTGCCTGTGGAGTCTCACAGTCTTCTTCTGAATTGTGTAGATTGTGGTCATGCCGCTCTGTCTTTTCTGAGTAAGGGACAAGGCTGCCACACTTACAAGAAAATTAATCCGGGAGAAATAAGAACTTCCCTCCCCAGGAAGGCTACGCAGGCAGGAATAGAGAGTTCTTTGAGGGAGGAAATGAGAAAGAGAGAGATCCCTTGGAATTTTCAGGTGTTTCAAAATACACTAGAAAATTGAGGTTTTAGTAAGTGTTTCCCCGGATTAAATGCTTCGTCTTGCTTAGATGTTCAAGAGATCCATGCGTGAATATTGAAGCTCATGCATGGGTCAGTTAGTGTTCCTTAACAGTGTCACGTCTTTGCAGTGGAAGGCAGTTTTCCTTCAATTTCGCTGTGACTCTCAACTTCTCTAAAAAGTAAAGTGTATTTACAGAAAGAGCACAAGGATTGGGGTAAGGTGTGTTACAGTGCCTGCCTAGCACTTGCAAAGCCCTGGGATTTAACCCAAGCACCTCAAAAAGAAAAAAAGAGGATGGTGGAGGGAGGGCGAGAGGGAAATGTACAGAGATTTCCCCTATGCCCTCTGCTGCAGGCATCATCAGCACCATCCTGGAAGTGGTACATTTATTACAGTCAATGAGCTTACATCATGCACTATCATCAGCCAGAGTTTCTAGTTTATACTTCACCTCACTCTTGGTGTACCTTCCCTGGGTTTTATAACGTGTGTCCACCACTGTCATATCATAAGGAAGAGTTTCACTGTGGTAAACATCGTTCCTCCTTAACATCTCACTCCTGCAAACCACTGATCTTTTTACCTCCGTGCTTCTGGGGGCTTTTCCAGAATGTCATAGTTGGAATTTCACAATGTGTAACCTTTTTAGATTGGCTTCTTTCACTTAGTAATTTACAGACTTCATTGAATTTGATGTGCAGAGATGAGATCCTCGCTTTGGGACGGAGATGAGATGATTCTACCTTCTAGAGCCCTCTGGTGGCTGGAAGGAGTCATCACTTCAAATATATATGAAATCTATAATTTTTTTTTTTATATATTTGGGGCCCTCTTGTTTTCCATTTTCCACAGTTTTAATCGTAGCTAGGTTGAGAGGAATGGCTTATTTTGTTAGTGCTAAGATTCTCAGAGAGGGTTTAAGATAAAGGTAATATTGTGAGGAGTCCTGGTAAACTCCGGAGGCATTTCCTAGAGCAGTGGTGGCAAACCTATGGCATGCGTGCTGCAGCAGGCTGTTTGTGTCATTGAAAGCTCTAAAGGTTCACCATCACTGTTCCACAGTTCCTGCTGCCCTACTCTTACCATCGTCTCACCCATTCATCTTGTCTGTCGCTGGGGCAACAATCCTTGCATTCACTTCAGCCATAAAGAATCAGCTCTGAATATGCGGAGAGCTCAGTTGGCAGTAAAGCAGCTCCTTGCCCCTAGAGAGCAGAACTGGTGTGCAGTTAGCCTCCACTATAGTAATGTAGTGAAGTTTGTCCTGGAAGCAATAATGACACAGAATGTTTTAAACAGAGCAGTTGTCTCCATTCCTCAAATTCATACTCTCTGCAAATCATTTGCTGTAGCTTCCTAGCAAGGAATGCTAGGTTAAACTTGGCCTCGATTTCTAGAAACAATGGGTCCTGCTATGAAAATACCCGGATGTTCCTGACAAGTAGCGCACAAGAACATACCCAGGAACTGCTTCGGCCAGTTTTGAGAAGAGTGTTCATTGAGTAAAAGGAAGAAGAGAGACGTTGTTTTACAACCCCCATCTTTCTTAAGATGTCCTTTTTTCCCTGTCATCCCTCTTCCCTCCCCCCGCATTCTTTTCCTTCCTGAGTCCCTTCCAAAATGCTTCTGGAGCCCAGTCTCTCTCCCTGAGAGGTCACCAAGTACATTTCCACTTTACATTACTATTTGCTAAAACATCCTGGTTAGGAATAGGAAGTTGCAAGCACCTGGCATCAAATGCTCCTTTTACTAAATCTTACGTGATGTGGCCCAGATTCAGGACTCTTTCTAGCGGATGGGCCTGGGGCAAAGGGAGTGCACATTTGAATCATTAACATTTTTATACAGGTGAAATGGGGCTAAAGTGACCTGAAGGGAGCATTGGCAGTCACCTGAGTGCAACGTGGCTGGGAAGGAGAGAGTTGTGTTGAAAGGGAGTCATCCATTCCCTGGTATATTCTCTGGTTATGCCTGACATGTGATTCTCACTTACAAGTCAAAGACTCTGAGCTTTTGGTGAGACTTCAGTGATGTATCTGTCTGTGCATATACTCAT